CATCTGGGAGTTGATTTGTACTCGCGATTGTTGCTTATTACGATGTTTTTTGGGATTTGGAGATATTTATCTATCTGTATTGTTACTTGGACAATTTTTCCCCATCAATTTCAAAGGCCTGTAGTGTAGTACAGTAGAAGTTAAATGGGCAGAGGTACTAAAAATTGGCCTAGGCGCTCCGATTTGATTGAATCGGCTGGAAAAATCGGTTAGGCTGCGCCCCCAGGTGCTCCTAGGCGAGCTCGGTGGCAATTTTTCATTTTTTTTTAAATACTATTTACATTTTTTTTATCATGTTTTCTTTATAATATATTAGTATTATTGTTTTGGACTTAGGTGTGAGAGTTTATTATAAGTTGAGACAATTTTATTTTGTAGGTACTGAAAATAAATAAATAAAAAATAAGGTATTTGAAAAATAACATATTTAATCATAATTTCTAGAACCCCTAGGCGGTAGTCGAGCGCTTAGCGACTTCTAGAACACCGTAAATATCAAGTAAAGAAGAGTACGAATGACCTAAAAGCATCTTGAAAATTATACAATTATAAAACAACCTCTACTGCATCCTTCTGTTAATTCTCCGTTTGGATTTGTTTTCAAGTGTTGTCGTGATAAAGATACTTTTTTATGCTCTAGTCTTCTTCTGAGATACGACTAATGAGCTGTTTTGTCGGTATGCTGAAGTTCCTTCATACGAAGACACCTAAATTGGAGGTGATATTGCGGGTGTATGGAAGTGTTTAGATGGATTCTATCTCTAACTCTGGATTAAGGTTGTTAATTTTGATATGTTTAGTGTTTTGACTTTTGCTAACTGCTGAGATTTGCAAAATTTCAAGTTCTGGGAGTTATTCTGAGGAACCATATATATGCATTCTAATTGCAGTTGACCTTGAAAATCGCTTTAGAATGTTAAGACAACTGCAAGAATCAAAATTGGACTTCTGTTTGTTGGCTTTTTTTAATTCTTAGTATATGATTTAGTAGATGGGAGACAACCAAACCAATGGTACTGTCCGTTATAAGTTCTTTAAATTCTTCAAATGTTTTATGCTATAAATGCATGTCTTCTTTTTTATTTTCTTCTTTTCTCCACCATGCTGGCATGTTAAAATCTCTTACCGTATCTACCTTCTTCTGTTGTAATTGTAGTAATGGAAAATTACAAGAATGTACCTGAGTTTGTCTATGAGCTTACACCCCCACAGATGGATAGGTTCATGACAAAGCATAGTCCCATCAACCAACTATCGACAAACGTGAAAGAGGTTTATCTCTCGTCCATCTCCGTTTTACCCGGCCTTTTTTTTTTTTTTTCAAAAACAAAATATCATCCAATCTGAAAATTGGGAATATTCTAAATTTTGTTGCTTTGTATGTATTCTTTGTACATTGCAAGCATCAGAACAATGCCTTTTTCACTTGCAGTTTATTTGCGTAAATTAATATAAGAAAACTTTAGTTCTATACTTAGTGTCATGAGAATCTTTATGTAAAGGAAACTCATTACTTGGGGTTTTTTCAGGAAACCCTTACAGCTGCGTACAGTTACTTGAATGATGCTGGAATGAATAGACTGTCAGGAAGTATGAATCCAAGCATGACTGCAAGCATGAGTCTAGACATGATGGACCTAGAAACTGAAGATGAAGAAGATGAAGAAAGCACGGAAGATGATCCTCCTGATTTGCCGTCTTTGATTTTAGATTCCCGCGTTGTCTATTTGGGCATGCCTGTATTATTATAGCTATGCATAGTATTTTTTACATATTATATATTTCGAGATTTGAATATCTTTGTCCTTGTGATTTATTTATTTCTGGTCATTTATTGCAACAGCTTGGGCCGTCCGTGGTTGAGCTTATTGTTGCACAATTGATGTATTTGGATTATAGGAGCGGAACTCAGCCGATATATCTATACATCAACTCAACGGGCACCCAGGTAATCATTTAAACATGCGTATTATATATGGCATGCAAGTTTTAGCCTTAATTTTTATCTTTGCTTCTCTGTAACATATTCGTGTTCTTATCTGCCTAGAATGAGAACGGGGACATTGTTGGATCTGAATATGGCGCATATGCAATTGCTGACACTATATCTGTAAGCTCCTAATTGCATGACATTATTTTACGTAATTCTTAGTGAGCAAGAAGAACTTATTGTGACAATATTGGATGTTCTAGACACATTAGAAATGATGATGTGTTAATTATCATCAGAATTACTTACAGTGAACTTTGAGATTTTATTGTTGTTCATTTAATTTTATTCTTTTTAGGTTTTGGTTATTTAACCTCTGATCTAACTCAACTTTTCATGTTCTTACATCAGTTTTGCGAAGCTAAGGTGTATACCCTAAATATGGCACAGGCGTATGGCCAAGCTGCAATGCTTCTGTCTCTTGGAGATAAAGGCTGTCGTGTATTGCTGCCACATACAAGCAGTAAGATCTGACTTTACTAGTTGAACACTTTGAATTTTCCTGATTACGTGATATCATGTCTCTTCCAATTTTTGTTTATATAAAATATAATAAAGGTGAGAGTGATTGTCGCATCAACCTTGTACGAACTACATTTTGTATCCCTTTGCATGATGAAGCATTAAGGTTTGCCCCATCTTTTATATTTTTGAATTAATTGTAATAACCTTTCTATCTTGTGCTGCAGCACAATTGTACCTTCCGAAAGACCCCAGAACAGGTGGAAATGCCACTGACATGTGGGTTAAGGTCTTCTCTCTCTCTGTCTCTCACAATCGTTTTATCTCTCTCTCTCTCTCTCACAATCGTTTTATTAATTTTCATTTTTTTATGAACTGGTTAGGGGAAAGAGATAGATGTAATGACGGACACTTACCTGAATTTCTTGTCCTATGGAACCGGGAAGTCCAAGGAAGAACTTAAAAACGACATGAAGTGGAAAAGGGCTTACAATTCACAAGAGGCTATTGACTATGGCATTGCTGACAGGATCATTTACACTATGGACGGCTCCAGCAAACCGGTAATTATATAAGGCAAAATTGCCCTTAATATCATGACCTTTCTCGAAGTTGCAATTTAATCACTATTGTTTCACTTTTGCAAATTATATCACAATCTTCAGTTTGTTGCAAATTGGTGCACCGATTTGCATATCCCGTGCAAACTATATCACAATATTCAGTTTGTTGTTCGACCACATGAGCTTTTCTATAACTGTTTTCAGACTTGTTGCAGCAAACTAAAGATTGTGATATAATTTGCAAACGTGAAAAATGTCATGATTAAATTGCAACTTCGATAAAGGTCGTGATACTAGGGGCAAATTTGCCAAATTATATAATTATAGTTTTCAACGAATATATTATATAACATTTTTAACCGCTTACCCTTGCTCGTCTTTCTTGCTCGTTCAGAAGCCAGACATACCGCTGGTGGTGAAAGAAATTGTGCGGGCAGCAGATGGAGTGGAATCCGAAGCCTGAAATGTTTTGTATTTGAGACAGGATTTAAGGGTATGTATCGAAATATTTTTATTGTAAGGGCCTAGAAAGATATATCACACAACTGTTGGACCTACTTTTCCTGTTAGATGGTGCCACATTGTAATTTGAAAATAATATAACTAAAAAAGGGTATATGTTTGATGGAATAGTGCTTTTATTTGTTATTTGCCCAGGTTTAGATGTAGCAAGTGGCCACCTTCAATGTGAGAATGTATATGATTTGTTAATTTCCATCAATGTGGTGGCATTGTTGTAATTTTGTTACTATTACTCGCACAACATGTCAAACACAGTATAAGGTTTGCAATAGAACAAGAGAAGAATAATCTATGATGGTGTTGGAATGCATAAATTGAAAAGATGTTTGAATAAATATGAATTTGAAGTCGTAAAGGAATTACTACTCTATGCATAAATTGAAGAATAGTCACTCTCTTTTGTTTAAGAGGGGATTGGGATCTCCTTTGGGCACTTCAAATGATAATATCAGAAGTATTGGTGGATGGCTTTAACAAGAATGAAAGATGCTATTTTGTAACCTTGATAATTGTAAGGTGATGATATGAAACTATTAATATCATTTTATGTATTTATTTCAATTGCGTAATTTGTTATTATTTATTTTGGTATAATACTTTTATGATAAAATTATTTATTTATATAATACGAATCTGAAAAATTATTGTTATAAGGATGGCCAATGTCATTTGATATATATATATATATATGTGTATGTATATATTAATGTAATTTTCAGAAATTATTTAAAATATAAAAAAAAGGTTTCTTCAAAAAATGTATAAATTTTTATCCCAACTAGTTATAATTTATAACCAATAGAACACCAGAAATTCTATGGCACCCACATTTGCCATGGAACTACACGATGTAGTTACAATTACAATTATATTTACATTGGAGTATTATTATCTACAAGATATTCCGTAACGCTTAAGATCGAAAAAAAATATAACAAAGGTGGTCGAAAAAAACAATAATTAAAAATCTTACAATTACACGATGTAGTTACTACAATTACAATTATATTTATATTGGAGTATTATTATCTACAAGATATTTCCGTAACGCGTAGATTAAGATCGAAGAAAAATATAACAAAGGTGGTCGAAAAAAACAATAATTAAAAATCGAAAGAAAATTGAACAAAAACGCTAGAGGAAGGGCTTGAACCTTCGACCTTGTGGTTAACAGCCACACGCTCTAACCAACTGAGCTACTCCAGCTGGTACACATACAATAACATTATAAAATATAAAACGTTAATTTTCAAGACTTTAGCCACCTTTTTTTCCCTAACAATTACACGATTTACCACTAATGGTTTTCTTACATTTTAATTGAAAAAATGAAACATAAATTGTTATAAGATGAGTAATGCTACATTGTTATAAAATTGGCTGAAAGTCAGTATTTAATCAATCTAATAATAGCGGATAAATCCCATCTATATTTTATATATAATTTCAGAATGCGCTGAGCCTACGTGGCAAACTCTCATGCTTCAAAATTGTATTTGGCAAAAAATCATGCTTTGGAGTTAGGCTTGGATATAAAATAATATTTATATTAATTGTATTTTAATATCGTTTCCTATTATAACCATTGAATTGAAAATATATTTTAAAAGTTGATAACTTTAGTATTTCTTATCGCTTTTACATATATAATATATCAAATTAATCATCTTTTGATGAACTTCGATTTGACATCCATATTGTATATATAAAATAAATAAATTATATTTATCTTTATAATAACAAAAAAATTATTTATTAAAATTAATTAGAAAATAAAATTATTATCAATTAATATATTTGTGTTTAATGTAGTTATATGTTATAAGGTAGAAAATTTATTATAATATAACACATATAAGTCGAACAAGTAACATGTGTCATACTAAAATATATAATAATCGAGACTCTCTCCTATTTTTATTATTTGTCACTTTGGCCTAATTGATCATTGATAAAATAAATGTCGTTTTAGATATTTTGTTCATATTTTTCCATTTTTAACCCTCCATCTAATACACAGTGTCTCTTTATATCCCATCTCCATCGTTTCCCATAACATCCATTAAATGGGGTTAATATTGTAAAAAAAAATCTTAATTAGTGTGTTGCATTTTAATTGATATTATGAAGTTCGTTTGTATTTTACTATTTATTTATATATATATATAATACAAAATAGTAATATATATCCTTATAAATAAAATTTAAATTTATTTATCAAACTAAATTAAATTATATAAAATAAAACTATAAATTATATTATAAAGTAATAGAAATTGGTATGTATTTTTCTAAAAATGATATTTATTTCAAATCTAATTGGTATGTTTTCAATGTAATAAAAATAAATAATTAATTATATAAATTCTAAAATTACATATAAAGTTAAAAAACTGTGAAGCACGACTGATACGACACTTAATGTATTAGACATCTAATTAAGTAAAAAAATTAATCTATTTTATTTAATATTAAATAAACATATTCTACACTTATACATATACATATCACCATATTATTTTTATTTATTTAAGATATATATTTTTGTACTTATGTCATAGTAAATAATATGGATATTTTTATATGCTATAAGTAAAAAAATTCAACAAGGGTTGACATTTTCATTTAGTGTGTGGGTGTTTAATTATTATGATTAAAAAAATATAATTTGACAATTTAATTAAAACTCAAAGTAATGCTTTCTATAAAATTAAATTATTTTAGTTTAAAAAAAAATTAAAATTTACAAAAGCTTTCTAATTCAACACCCGTGTAATACAGGGGTATTGTACTAGTTGATATTAATATCAAATATGTATAGGGGTACCTCACTGTACAAATCACATACTAAAAACGATTAGTTTGTACAGTTTATGTCCTTAAGAGACTATAAAATTACTAATGTCTATCAATAGTTAGGAGTCCTTGTGATACAGTTTATGTCCTTAATTAACGAGTATAAAATATACTAATGTCTATGAATAATTATGAGTCCCGTTGTACAGTTTATGCCCTTAAGAGAATATAAGATTACTAGTGTTTATTAATAATTTGGAGGTGTGATGCATGTAATTACTAGTATTAGTCCCATTTTATAATTTATTCCATACATTTTGATAAAATAATAGATTCTACATACTGCTAGACTCATCAATATTTACAGAAATATATTCTTTGCATATTACAATTATAAGCCTTTGTCGGTTGGTCCCAGTTTAAAAATCTTAAGTCAAATGCCGAAGCATAAATTTCTTGGCCGCAAAATCAAACCAAATTATTCAAAGCAATTTAGGTCAGTTTGATTTTTCAATTTTGAACCATATAAAAGACATGTAAAGAAAAAAATATATATATATAAAAGCAAAACTTTAAACGCGCCCAACTGCATGGCTTTCGGTGGTAGCGTTGGACTAACCCTACTCAAACAGCTGTGAAAGACGGGCCTTTTTCCTTTGGCTTCTTTCTTTTTAGCATTTACTAAATTATTATCATGCACGAGTAATGGTAATACAGCAAAAACACGATTTATAGTCTTATATACACATTTAATTTGCTAAAGATACTACATTTTTGGAAAATATGTCATATACTTTAAAATAACATTTTTAATATAGTCAAAAATACTTTTAGATCAAAAGTCCAATCAATATAGGTTTGCACATTTAAAAGTTTTATAAGTTCGCAATTAATGGCGATGACAATGGCCATGCGGATACAATCAACAAGAAAACCCAAGAGCGAGCCTATATTCTGGTCAAACTTATGGATTATTAATTAAAATAATAATTATAGTAATAATTTAATGATCACAACATGTAATAAATATGACATAATTTTTTTTTTTTATTATTGGCAAAATTACATTTTGTGCGGGTGTGTGGCAGATGTGAGCAACTTCTTTTTGGTTTTACAAAAGTGCATTCAAACTTGTTAAAACTTGGAATTCGTGCCCCTAAATATTTTATATTTTGTTAAATATTTATATCTTATTTTAAATCTACTTACAACATTAAATATTTTTCATTACTTAAAATAAAAAGAAGAAGGAGAAAACTACTTCATTATTTGTATAAGTATAATAATGACGTTATATGATAACAAATTTTGTAGTAAAATAATAATCAAGTTTATATGACGAACAAAAATAAGTAAAATTGTTATTTTTCTTATAACAAAGAATAAATTTATTTACTAAAATTAAATTCATATTAGTATAAACGTGTTAGCGGTATAAGGAAAAGAAACAAAATGCAAGATAGAAAACGAGAAGAATTTTTTATTTATTGATGATGAACAACTGTTACATTAATTATTTCTTGCTGCTTGCTCTTCAAGCTTCAGTAAATACACATATATATCGTGGGGCTAAGAATCCCTAGCTAAGGGATAAGATTACACACGTTCACTTTTCATTGGTTTAGAGTTTTGGCATTTAGGGTTTTTGTTTTCCTTTTCTGTATTCCATGAGCTGTCAAGAGAATGTCTCTCACGTGCTTCATTTTCCACGTCATCGTGCCATCTCAGTCTTTTTCTTTTGCTCGTGATATTTTCCACGTCAGTGTCCATGCTGATATGTGCACGGTTCTCAATATGCCCCCTCAGTCCTTTGCATGGATGAGGGAACAACCTAAGTTTGTTCCTGAAGTTTGTAAAGGATTGACCTGTCAAGGCCTTGGTGAAAATATCGGCAACTTGCTCTGTGGTAGGAATGTGCTGAACTGAGATCACCTTCTTTTCTATTTTATCTCTTATGAAATGCAAGTCTAACTCAAGATGCTTGGTTCTTGCATGGTTCACTGGATTAGCAGCAAGACAAACTGCTCCACGGTTATCAACCCAAATGGTGCTTGGCTTAAGAAATTTCACCTTAAGCTCAGTCAATAAGGACTATATCCAAATCATCTCACAAGCAGCCTGTGCTAAGCTTATGTACTCTGCTTCTGTGGATGATCTAGAAACTATAGCTTGTTTCTTTGAGCTCCATGATATTAGGTTGTTACCAAGATAAACACACATGCCTAAAGTAGATCTTCTATCATCAGGATCTGAGCCCAATCAGAATCACATAAACCAGTCAAATTGAAGAGAGAACATTTCTCTAATTTCAAACCATAGTCCTTGGTTGCTGCTAAATATCTAAGAATTCTTTTAACAGCTTTCCAATGGGTATCAAGGGGCTCTTGCATAAACTGACATACCTTATTAACAGAGAAGGAAATGTCTGGTATTGTTAAAGTCACATATTGCAATGCCCCCACAACCTGCCTGTAAAGATGTCCATCTGCCATGGGATGTCCATTGAACTTTGATAGAGGTGGAGATGAAATCATAGGGGAATTTAACCCTTTTGCCCCCTTCATCCCAGCTCTATCTAGAAGGCTGTCAATGTATTGGGATTGATCCAAGACAATGGAATCAGAAGAGTGAGTGACATTAACCAAGAGAAAGTGCAGAGGACCAAGGACTTTAAGAGAGAAATGAGTGGCCAATGAATCAATGAGCTGAGATAATTCAGATGAGTTGCTACCAGTAAGGATGATGTCATCCACATACACCAAGAGAAAAATGGAGCTTTGTGGAGTGTGTCTGAAGTACAAAGATGTGTCTGCCTGAGAGATAGAAAAACCAAGAGACTTCAAAACTGAATTGAATTTTGATGTCCAAGCTCGAGAAGCTTGTTTCAAGCCATAGAGAGATTTGGAAAGTTTACAAACAAGGTGCTCATGACCTTTGACTTCAAAGCCAGTAGGTTGATGCATGTAAATATCCTCAGTGAGGGTGCCATTTAAGAAGGCATTATCAACATCAATTTGCTTAAGATCCCAGCCAAAAGTTAGAGCAATAGAGAGAATGAGTCTAATGGTTGCTGGCTTAACAACTGAACTAAAAGTTTCCTTGTAATCCATACCAGCATCTTGTGTGTAGCCTTTGGCTACTAACCGGGCCTTGTACCTAGCAATGGATCCATCAGGTTTAGTATTAAGTTTAAACACCCACTTGTTGCCAATGACCATTATGTCTTTAGGAGGAGGGACTAAAGACCATGTCTGATTGTGCAGAAGGGCATTGTACTCAGTCTGCATTGCTTTGAGCCAATGAGGAGAACAAATAGCCTTAGAAAGAGAAGTAGGCTCCACTGAATGGTTGAAGGAAGTGGTGAAGCTCTTTGGCTTGAAAATTCCAGACTTGGACCTTGTAGTCATGTGATGATGAGATCCTGTAACTATAGAATCGTGAACATTAGTAGCATCAGTTGGAGGTACCACATTATGCTCAATAGTTAGATCAATAATGATTTGTCCAATAGGGATAGAGGAAGTACGACTGGAATTTGAAAGGGAAGGAGAATTGTGCTGAGAAGGTGTGATATGTGAAGAATTATGCTGTGATGGTGTGGTATGTGGAGAATGGTGCTGTAAGGGTGAAGAAGAATTGGGAGAAGAATTTAGGATGATGAAACTTTCTCGAGATTGAAAATTGGTTGGTAACTGCTTGGTATAAGAAATAATAGGTGACTTAAATGATTGTTGGAGGAGAGGAAGGGCATGAGGAGGGTGGGGTGGTTTCTGTGATATGGTAGAAGTGGTGGATTGAGTGAAAGGGAAAATGGATTCATCAAAAAGAACATTTTTACTGAGGATTATCTTGCCTGATGGGAGACGGACCTTATACCCCTTATGGTTGGGACTATAGCCAAGAAAAGTGGAAGCAAGACTCCTTGGCTGGAGTTTATGTTAATTATAAGGTTTGAGAAGAGGAAAACAAAGGCAGCCAAAGCTCTTAAGAAAATGATAATCAGGTTTAATGCCTGCTAAAACTTCCTGAGGGAATTTAAGATGAAGAAGTTTTTGAGGAGTTCTGTTGATAAGGAAAATGGCACTGACAAAAGCCTCATCCCAATACTTTGTGGGAACATGAGACTGAAATAACAATGATAATCCAACTTGCACAATATGTCTGTGCTTTCTCTCTGCCAAACCATTCTGTTCTGGGGTATAAGGGCAAGAAATCTTGGATTTAATACCATTTTCAGACAAATAAGATTTAAGGGCCACAAATTCACCACCACCATCACATTGTAGGGACTTAACAGTAGTGCCAAACTGATTCTTAACAAGAGCAAAAAAATAAATAAAGGCAGTCTTGGTATCTAATTTGTTTTTGAGGAGGTAAAACCAAACAAACCTGGTACTATGGTCAATAAAACTCACATAATATTTAAAACCTTTGTGAGAAATTGTAGGTGCAGGTCCCCACAAATCAGTGTGCACAAGATCAAAAGGATTATAAGCATTGGAATCAGAATCAGAAAATGGTAACTTATGAAATTTGGATTCCATACAAACATTGCAGAATAAAGATCTTTTATTATCATGAAAGGGAACATCACAATGCTGCAATGCAGCTTTAACAATCTCAAATGAAGGATGCCCTAGTCTATTGTGCCAAATTTCCAAAGTTTCTGCATGCTTGATATTGGTTGCATTACAACTTGATTGAAAAGGAAAAACATCACTAGTAGTAGGGTAATGAAAACTAGTGGAAGTGTCTTGAGTGTTGGTGAATTGGAAGCAATAAAGACCATCCTTAAGGGTTCCTTGAAGCAAAGTTGAGCCTGTGTTGCAATCCTTCACAAAGCATAAGTTTGAATGAAATTCAAAATAGACTTGATTATCTTTTGTAAACTGAGAGACACTAAGAAGATTTTTGGTAATTTGTGGTATATGCATCAAACTATTGAGGAAAAAAGCATTTGGAAATTTTTGGTTAGGACATTTCATCATTGAACTCCCTATATGAGCAATGTGCATACCTGTCCCATTTGCAGCTTGAACTTTTTCTGATCCCTGGTAATCTGAGGCTAAGATGAAAATGTTAAGATCATTGGTGAGGTGATGGGTAGCCCCTGAATCAGGGTACCAATAAAGATCTTGAGAGCTATCCTCAGTCTGACTCCCAACACTTGCAATGTTGACAGAAGGTCCTCCATGTCCTTGGTTCTGCTGACTAGTGTTGTGTTGTGACCTTCCAGTGAAGTTCATGTCAAACCTGAAATAGCACTTATCTGCTGTGTGGTTGTTGTACCCACATATTTGGCATCTCGGTCTGTTGGAACCATAACCACCTCTAGCACCTCTTCCTCTTTAGTTTCCAACTCTGCCTGGTCCTCTTCCTCTGAAGAATTGAGTTTGATTGTTAAATCTGCCTCTCATGGGGTTAGAGCCTCTGCCTCTACCAAAGGTGTGAGCGGCCAGATTAGCTGCAAGTAATGACCCATCTCCTTCATTTACAGCCTCTGAACTTTTCAACCTACTCTCAAAACTCAAAAGGACAGAATAAGCTTCCATCATAGAGCATTTTTCAGATCTTGAGGTTAAGGCCACAACCACAGGGTTGTATTCAGATCCCAACCGGCCAGGAGATGTAATAGCTGGTCAGCATCTCCTATCTTTTGTCCTGCTGAAGTTAACAAGTCACAGACTCCTTTGACCTTGTTGAAGTATTCCCTCATTTTCATGCTTCCCTTTTTCATTGTTTGCATCTCGAGCTTGAGTTGCATTTGCTTGGCTAAGCTGTGGCTGGCAAAGCTGGATTTAAGTGCATCCCAGATCTCCTTTGAAGTGTTCAAACCAACAATGGATATTAGCACATTTTCGGAGAGAGATGAGAGGAGCCAAGATGCTATGAGCTGGTCTTGTTTGACCCAGTGGAGATAATCCTTGTTGACTGTGACATCTTGATTGTTGGGATCTGTGGCTAGCTTGTCTGGAGATGGTGTTTCACCGGTGAGAAAACCAAGAAGGCCATATCCTCTAAGAGTGGTGAGGATCTGTTGTTCCCATATTAAAAAATTGTTATCATTTAGCTTAACCGAGATAAGCTGTGATTGCAGGTGTATGGTAGGGTCTCCTTGGGGTCCAGCCATTAATGCAAAGGAAGAAAAGACTGAGGAGATGAATCAGAGACAAGCTTTTACACCCGCTCTGATACCATATAAAGAAAAGAAACAAAATGCAAGATAGAAAACGAGAACAAAATTTTTTTTATTGATGATGAACAACTGTTACATTAATTCTTTCTTGCTGCTTGCTCTTCAAGCTTCAGTAAATACACATATATATCGTGTGGCTAAGAATCCCTAGCTAAGGGATAAAGATTACACACGTTCACTTTTCATTGGTTTAGAGTTTTGGCATTTAGGGCTTTTGTTTTCCTTTTCTTTATTCCATGAGCTGTCAAGAGAATGTCTCTCACGTGCTTCATTTTCCACATCATCGTGCCATCTCAGTCTTTTCCTTTTGCTCGTGATATTTTCCACGTCAGTGTCCATGCTGATATGTGCATGGTTCTCAATAAGCGGGATAATATATTAATTAATTTACAAGTTAGGACTAACATATTCAAGTTTAACGTTCTCGCTAAAGAAACAACGGTGATTAAAAGAGGTGAAAAATAACGATCTAATTCTATCGTTTTTTAGGCATAAACGGGCAGCCCCTATGAAAATCAGTCATTTAACATCTCTACCCGTGCATGTCACGGACTGTGTACTAGTTTTAAGTAATATTATATAACCGTATTATTATTTTCCCACACATACCACGTTATTATAATATAAAGTTATAAACTGATCTCCCGAATCCAATGGCTTTCCAGGATCCTCTTCCCATTCCCTGATTCTATATTTTGTAAATGTTAGAAAGATATTTTTCCATAGATATTGATTTTTCCGGGGTTTCTTTTCTTAATCAATCGCGAATTTCAACTGACCAAGACAAGAAAAATCAAAAAAGAGAAGCACGCATAAATGATAAATCGTAATTAGTCCTTTAATTTGGGTCAGTATTAACTTATTGAGGTTTGATACATGCGACAAAGAAAAACTAAATTTTCATGGCATGCGTTAGGCAACATTGAAATTATTTATTTCACTGAGGTTTTAATAATCATTAGATCTATATACCTAAATTTAAATGCATTTATCCTCTCTCTATAAATGAGGCACATATTGACATAGTCTANGACCACATATTGCAATTAATGGCAAAGTTCTTAAATCTTTTTCTGCTCTCCATTTACATTCGATCCATTCTCTTAGGTAATATTTTGATTTCAGTTTCACCATCCAATTTCTCTTTCAATTGAACAATGATTATTTCAAAATGGTGAATTTGAATTAGTATTTACGTGTATGCATTTTTTATCAGACATAATTTTAATATCGTTACATGGCAAAAATAAAATTTAGTTGTTCTATTTCTTTTCCTATTTTCTTTTTTCCACTCATCTTCTCTTTCTGTTTTTCCCCTCTTCTCTTCATTTTTTTTATCTTCTCTATTTGTAAATTTATTGTGGCGGTCTACTCGTACATGGCCCAAGTTTGATGATGGTTAACATAGAGAACCAATTTTAAAATTATGCCCATTTGATCATATTAAAATACTATTTAGAAAAGAAATGTATTAATTTAAATTAACTTGTTACATTTTACGTCCTCTCAGGTTTTCACGCCCATGCACTCAAGCCTTATGATCACTTCTTTACAGATGAGGCAAGTCAACAAGCTTTCTATGAAAAATATTTATAGTAATTATATACCTTTGTATGCTCAAATAACTTGGCTTGTTTTAGAGTTTGATTTTGCTAATTTTCCCCCTTATTTCTAAATATATTTACTTTTATCAGTGTCTAATACACCCATTGAAGCCACAGTATGAGGGTGGAAAAATTGTGAATCCAGAACTGAATGAAGGGTTATTTGGTTGGGAAGCGTTCGGAGATGCCAAAATCGAGCATATGGAATCCACTGACGGGATTAACAAATACATTGGCGTGTTTGGGAGAAATAAAACTTTTCATAGTTTCAAACAGACAGTCTATCTTGAAAAGGAAAAACTATATACCGTCTCAGGTAATATATATATATATATATATATATATATATATAGTGATTATGTTTCGTTTGATAAACACACACATATATATACACACATATACAGTTATGTTAAAAAATTAGTTAGCTTTGTGGATTCATGAATCTTACTTGGATCATACAAATTGGTCTAAAAAGGGTGAAGTAAGTTTAATGAGGTGAGGGGGCACTCAAACAATGATTTTCAACTCACCCTCCCACTTTTTAATTAGGTCTTGCTAAAAGTTGTCAAGACTAAAGTACAATTATGCTCTTGTATATTCTTGTACCCTAACTTTTCATCCTATTAAAATTGCGTTTTTTATTTTCGTCTCTTATATTTGCAAAAATGTTACAAAAATGTCAGTTTCATACATAAGGGACGAGATTGAAATCTTGTTTTGCAAAACATAAATGTCCTTTTTGTTGCGAAAAAGACATTTTTTCATCTTTTTGCAAACTTATGAGACGAAAATCAGAAACACAATTCGAAAATGACGAAAAAGTTAAGATAATGAAACATACAGGACTGAAATTACAATTTACTTAACTTGTGAAATTGTCTATTTGGTATATATGCTTATAAGTTATTGTTCTTTTTTTCTTTTTGTCTTTTTAATTAATGAATTACTACATGTGGTAGCATGGGTACAACTTAAAGGCCATTCAAGAGCTGACGTGGCAGTAATGGTGAAGACGAGCACAGGGTTTGAAATTGGGGGTTGGGTCCTGGCAAAAAGTGGGTGCTGGTCAATGTTGAAAGGTGGCTTCACGGTCAATGTTTCTGGCCCAGCTGAATTATATTTTGAGGTTTTTCCCTTCTTTTCCTTTTACATTAATAATATAATAAAAAAAAAAAAAAAAA